TGAATTCAGAGAAGATGGAGTGGAATGGACCAGCCTCTTTAAACGACTGGACATAAAGGATACTCAGAAGGAAGGTATTGGATTCAAGGAAGAATGAGTGGAATGGACTAGCCTCTTTAAACGACTGGACATAAAGGATACTCAGAAGGAAGGTATTATTCTCAGCATGTGGAGTCGATAATGGAATATAGGTGGTGGCATAAAGTGGTAGGAGAAATACTATGTCATGCTCTTGGGGTAGCAGCTCAGACAAGTATTAGGAAAGGACATACTCTAGAGGTAGTAGCCCCTCTTCATCTATACCAAAAGTAGCCAGTGAGTCACACAATCAACCAAATTAGTGAGTGCTGAGGGAGAAATGAAGAAAGACCCAAACAGTCCCCACGGATTGGCTCAACAAAGTAAGGACAGTGCAATGGGAACATCAAAACATAACGAAATAAACAAGAGCAAAAAATAAAAAAAACTAGATGACCATTACCCTAACTGTGGCTGACACCTCTAATACTGTGCAAAGATGTGTGAAAGGTATCTACTGAAGCACCAGTAGCCACCAGATGGCACCTTCTGTTCACCACCATAAGGCAACACCCTCTCATGGAGTTCCAGCATGGAGGGTGGAATTTTCTCTAGAACAAATGCATACATGTGTCTTACAGAAATAGAGGCCATTTTTATTTTTGCATAAACACCTTAGATTTGTGAACAGGGTTGTTGTGTGATAGAAATACTTGGGTTGTTTAGGGCAAATGCAGAGGCTAAATATAAAGAGAATGTATTTAATTAGAGTATATTTCTTGTTTTATTTTGGTTATTTTAACGTCATGTTAAACAACTGCACAAATCAATTTGATATTAATGTGTATGGAGCAAGAACTGCCATAAAAACCAATGTTGATTCCTCGAAAAGATAAGTTCTTGCAAAATAAGAAAAACAGCACCAACCAAACATACTAAATGTTCTTCAGAAGGAGAATCAGGGTCTGTTATATTAGGTAACATAAAAAAAACAGTGGCGATTGTCTCAAAGCTCAAGTATCTAGTAGGAAGACTAACAGGATACAAGTATTTACTCAGAAAAAGAAAAGAGCACAAGAAACAAGTGATAAAAAAAAATCTGAATGTTTCCTTCCTGATGCAAGTAACAGAACCAAATGTCAGGGGAGATAGAGCAGACAAGGCACGATGAATTCAAAAGAAAAAGCCCAGTAACTTAAAACCAGACAGACATCCCATTGAAGACGGTATCTAGGTGCTTGTGGAAGACATAATAAAAAGAACTAAAAGAAGGACCTGAAAAAGTGAGGACCACAGAGGCACATGACTTCTGTGGCACTGAAAGTGGCTGAGACTGCAACTCCGTAGCCCATCATAGAAGCAGATAAGCCCCCCCCCCCCTGTGAAAAACAAAGATGGATTCAGCTTTACGAATTCTGACGGCAAGTAGGCTGAAGTGTTGTGAGGATTATGGCAAGCATTGTAGCATATAAATTAAGCTTTACAGATTCTGAAGGCAAGTAGGCTGAAGTGTTGTGAGGATTACAGCAAGTATTGAAGCATATAAATCCAGCTTTACGGATTCTGAAGGCAAGTAGGCCGAAGTGTTGTCAGGATTACGGCAAGCATTGTAGCATATAAATCCAGCTTTACGGATTCTGAAGGCAAGTAGGCCGAAGTGTTGTCAGGATTATGGCAAGCATTGTAGCATATAAATCCAGCTTTACGGATTCTGAAGGCAAGTAGGCTGAAAACAAAGATCAGATGTTTTGCTTTGGCCTACTTGCCTTCAGAATCCTTAAAGCTGGATTTATATGCTACAATACCTGCCGTAATCCTGACAACACTTCTGCCTACTTGCCTTCAGAATCCGTAAAGCTGGATTTATATGCTACAATGCTTGCCATAATCCTCACAACACTTCAGCCTACTTGCCTTCAGAATCCGTAAAGCTGGATTTATATGCTACAATCCTTGCCATAATCCTGACAACAAAAAGAAGGGGACATTCTTATGTTCTTATGATAAAACTATTAGAAATATATGTACTGAAAGGCAAAAATGCATTTAAAAATCAGAGCTAGTATAAGAACTACATTTTGCCATTCACATTACTGGCAGATTGCATTAGTTTAAGATTTTACAACAGAGAAGGAAATAGTTACGTCACAGCAAGGTGAATAGCACGACTGTCTACAAGAAAACCTAAATGGTATGAAAGCAGAGCTTACATAAGATCATCTAACATTTGTGAAATTAGTCAAGTGGAAGGAAGGAGAGTCGATAATTACGGGTGACATATTCTGTAATGCATAAAGGACATTCTGAAATTTGTAGTCTTATGTTTTGTCGGCAGCAGGAGTTCAAACTCAACAAGGAAAGGCTGTCAGTATTTTGGAGGTAAGTCTACCTGATTTGAAACCTTTTTTTTACCATAATTTTTGAGGTTTTAACCAATTTTTATGTCAAATTTCCATATTTAGAACAAATTCAGAAAAAAAACAAATTCCACTTACCTAACTGGTTTTGTAAATGGCACTTGTTTATACACAAACATAACTAACCAGTACTGCACTGTTCGATTCCAAGAACGGATCCCTTCCCTGATTGTTGGAAGGAACTCACTACCAAACTCATCAATATTATGAACAGTCTGGAAGTTGTATTCTGTTTCACTCCAAGCTTCTTGGTTATCTTTACTACAAAGATAAAAAAAATAAATAAAAGAGTTGTTTTTAATGGTCCAAAAATACATTCAATTCTTTCAAGGTGATACCAAAGAAACCTTGAGTACATAAAAATACCAAACTGACCACAAAGCCAAAGTACATTAGCTCTTTCAAATTAAAATTTGTAAAATCCCAGGCCTCTTACCTTTAATTCTATATTTATTAATATCAGTAGCTACAGAAAAACACTTCAGATGGCAGTACATCTCAGCCATTCTAGTGATGCAAGTTGACCATGACTGCACAATTTTCACAGTATGACCAACCATTAACTCAAAAAAAAAACCAGGAGCTTTATTGTCCAAATGTTTATAGTGATGTTGATAATTTAGATTCCACGTCCCGAGTTCTTAGACTTACTCTGAGCATTCTTTTTTTTGAAATTTTTGTGATAGAGAAATAAGTTACAAGCATTAATGAGTTTAGTATTTTTAAAACTAGTATTTATTTCAAAATATTTTGTGGCATTCTTCTTAGGAGAAACACATGCGATTTATATGAAAGAATGAATTGAATTTATCATATAAATGACAAAAATGCTATTTAAAAGGTGACCTGCCCATATTTTTCTCATTAATGGAGTAAGTACGACATAATAGAGGTTGAGCACTAAAATTATCAAAAATATTAAAAAAAAAATAGACCATGCTTGTAATTGGCAGCCCTGAATTGTAAAATTAGACTCGGTGCACTAAAAGCATTTGGTAATAAAAATGGCTTTGCATAAAAGATTATTAATAAATCTAAGTATGTATGGGATTAATCTTCATACAAAATAATAAACAACTAAAAATATTACTGTAGAACAAAAAGACACAAATCTAATGAAATTGAATCAAATATTGAGGAAATGTATACCAAAGTAGAAATATTTGTGGGAAACATGCACTTAAATCTGGAGTTTTATTTCTTATGTACGTTATATTACTTATGTATCACAATGAAAGATAGTGTTGAGAGACATCTGCAGTGTACACAGTTATGCGAGTTTTTAATCACAAATGTTAGGACTATTTCATTTACGGTATTTTGCCAACTTATAGGTTTGTTTGTGTGTAATTAAGCACAAAGCTACACAATGGGCTATCTGTGCTCTGCCCACCACAGGTATCAAAACCCGGATTCTACCGTTGTAAGTCCGCAGACATACCACTGTACCATTGGGGGTCAACTTATAGGTTCAATACAGCATTTTTTGAAAGGATGTTTGATTAGATTATGCTATTTTCTTTGACTGAATTGTGCCATGAGAAGTGAACCATGCTAACCACTTAGCCACTGGGGGGGGATGATCAATTTGTAAAAACATATTTTCACAAACAAAAGTCCTCTATAATGTAACACAATTTATTTAAATTATCAGTTGGATTAAAAAGAAAGAAAAAGAGAGAGAAATATTATATTAGGTATTGCCATCATTGTCACATATATACTTGGAACTTTCCATTATTTGGACCCTGGATTTGTCGAAAAAGGCAATGATTTCTATAACTCTAGGTTTGTTGAATGTGTTAAAAAACAAGTAACATTATTATAATGTCACTTCACATTATTAATGGTAACTTCTTACATAACTTGAGCAAGACAAGTATAATAAAAAAAATTCAAATTTTAGACAAGTAAGGATCGATATATATGTATGTTAGTTAAATGTAGTAATATAGAAAGTTTTAATGCCTTTTCAAAGCTATCGTTGAAACGTTGAAAGCTGGTAAAACACTGGAAACCAATAAGCCCAAAATTTGTGATACAAATCAAGCAAATAATACTTTTTTTTTTCCTCTATCACCCTTAATTTTACCTTTTCGGATTTCAACTCGGAGGAATCTAAAAATAGTACATCTGTCCTACCTCCTGTAGTTACTGACAAATCACTGCTTTTGTTACATATGAATCCATCCACCCACCCATTCACTGACTTTAATGAAAAGTTACTAAAGGAGTCACTATACTCTTAGCCATCCCATTAGGATTTTAAAAAAAACTGATGTAAAAAAATTAATTTCAGATACTACTTTTTGTTTTTTGCCAACATAGTCTTTTTTCAATAACAGGACTCATCAATCAGGTTAAACATACAGCAATCAATTGTCTATCTAAATGATGAATCAGTGCATTCTAATCATTATAAGGTACTGTTTAACAACATTAAATACTCATAGTTAGGTAGATACATTAAATTAATTAGTAAGCTAGCTGATAAACTGTTACATCTCTACAGATTCTAGCATGTAACTTTAATTTTATTAACAGAATCCTGCAAAGTTAGACAATAACTTTGTCTTACACAAGAATGTTTGGAGACAGCTCGAATGGATAGTGAAAGAAATTATTACATTTTGTACTTAATGATGGGTCCGGCATGGCCAGGTGGTTAGGACTCTCGACTCGCAATCTGCGGGTCGCAGGTTCGCATCCCCGTCCCACCAAACATGCTCGCCCTTTCAGCCATGGGGGCGTTATAATGTGACGGTCAATCCCACTATTCATTGGTAAAAGAGTAGCCCAAGAGTTGGCGGTGGGTGGTGATGACTAGCTGCCTTCCTTCTAGTCTTGCACTGCTAAATTAGGGACAGCTAGCGCAGATAGCCCTCATTTAGCTTTTCGCAAAATTCAAAAAGCAAACAAACTTAATGATGACATAAGTTTGTTGAAACTGTGTACATTTGTAATAAAGTTTCTTTTACTAACCATTCAAGCCATCTCCGAATTTTATTTTCTAAAAAAGTGGATTCCTTGTCATCAAATTTGTCTTGCACAGTACGCTGCATCAGAGGCTATCCTTGATCAACCCTTTTGGTATCGGTTTTTCTACATGACTCCAATCTTCTTCAGCTTCCGCATGAGAATCTACACTGGATTTGTCCTAGGAGAGTGTGTCTGCATTATGACAGGTCTCGGGGCTTATCCAGCTATTGCTAATCCTAAAACAGGCGAGGGCCCAACGGATTTGGTAGCATTTCAGAAATTGTAAGTAGTAGCATTTTCACTTTTTAAATATTTCAAAGGCATGGAAACTGATCAAATAAATAGAAGTAACAGGCAAGTATTATATCTGCTAAATAACTCTGAAATAGAAACTTTAATGCATTTTAAATATTTATTGATAGGCTAGTTAACGCATCACAAATAAACCTTAGGAAATATTTTCTTTTCTTTTTTACCTCACTTGCAATAAGTAACTTTCACGTAACTTCATGTGACTTACTTCTTAATAAGTATGAGGTATAAACTTGATGGATGAAAATTCCACATTGACTGAAACTGTTCCTATATATATATGCTTCCTGCTAGGATAAGGAATACTGAAGATGATGTACTGTATCCCTAGAATTTGGAGAGTTAACTCCTGTCTTTCTTTCTTTTTAGCAGTAGTAGGATTTTGACCTATATTATTCATACAGTTACATGACCACTATAAAGTTGGAATATAAATTTTGGTAGTTAAGATTTATTCATCACCAACGGTGGTATGTATCGTAATTTGCATTTGTTCATTTTGTTTCTTTTTTTTTATTATTATTTTCATCACAGTTGACTGTAGATTGTGAATGTGGTATGTTGGGAGCTTCATCACACCTATTTGTTTATAAATTTAAAATCTTAGCTTAATTTCAGGTGTGAGGCTTGTGAACAGAGGTTAAATTTTGATACAGCGACAACATATCCTTGTCACTGTGATAGTCTTAATTCTTCAGGTCAATCTCTTACCGCGGGTACATTTTACCATTACCACACTAGTTTGTATCCTTGTGTTATTTATCTGCGTAATGTTATCCTTTGTGTTTACGCAGAAGTTTGAAGTTTCGGTTAAAAAACAATACACTGAATAATATATACCAAACTTGGGATGTGTACATAATGTGTCAGTGTTCTAGTAGAAGAATATTGGGAAGAGTTTAAAAAAGGAAACACTTATAATATTATAAGCTATTTATTTATATTTAAGACATAGAAATGTACATTTTAAAATTCTTACCTCCAATGGAAAAATGTAGTCAGACAATAAAAACATCCCAATGTAAAGAGGTATAAAGCAAATTCTGTGTTTCAATATCTTGAAGCAAGGTAAATATGGTGCGTAAGGGACAGAAAACATGTCGATGTAAGTCTTATACTTGTAATACGGACCTGTCAAACAACGTTTTATGGTTACTCCAGCAACATATGATTATTGATGATCATAAAATGTAATGAAGGAAATATTAATCAATTTATCTGTTATTTAATGATATATTTATGATCCACACTCATTTAATCTTGTGGATCTTTCTTTTTTATGAGACTGTCTACTTTTATTTGCTATTTTTATATTGAGTGTAATGTCCTTATTCTTTGAATAAATTGAATTGAGGAAAAAAAAGATCATTACTGAATTTATTACACATCGTCTGTTGTTTCTGTGACTTGGATTTTTTGTACATTCCAATTTCAGAAAGTACAAACACTTTCTGAACTTACTCTAAAGATAAAACATACAGTTTACGCATGACCAGTCATAAAACGGTTGCAGCTCAAAATTAAAAAACACTGTTTACAAACAAAGATAATCACTGTTTCAAGACTTAATGGCTGAAAAAAAGAAAACAATTTTTAAAATACAAAACAAATTACTCTTTCAAATTGTACATTATGTGGACAGCCAGGGAACTATTGACCCATTATGAGTATCCTGACTCTCAACCTCCCACGATAAACTAATCATGAAGAAAAAAAAATAGACAGAAAAATCATCCAAACTTTTAGTGTCACTATTCCTCATACATAATTAATATCAGCTTGCTATAATCTCACCATAACATAAATACTCCGGTTAAACCTTAACCCTTAAATGAATGACAAACTTCTGAGCTGTATATGAAACACTCCCTTTAAAAACCAACACAATATTATAATAATAATAATCCCTATAGACTCCCACTGGAGCATAGGGCCCCAACAACACCTCGCCGACAGAAGTTGTTGTTGCAGTAATTTTTTAGCAGGTTGGTTTTTACGGGGCAGAGTTGCTAGCCCCGCACCTAACCCTCCCCCTTTCTCATCCTGGACTTGGGACCAGGCAATGGTGGTGGCATCCCTGCCGGGGAACGAACCCGGCATTTGGATTAGAAATCCAACGCGCTATAGGGACACAACAACATATTACTTCGAACTAAAACTCTGTTCTACATGTATGAAATGAGGCAGTTAAAAGTGTTTTTTTGGGGGGAGGGGGTTTGCTTAAAGTACATATGCTGAAAGCTAATTATAAACTGGGTGAGGAGCTCTGGTACTGGGCAAAGAACAATGGCCAAAGTGTGGTTGAAATTATGTTAAACATTTTTATTACTGGAAACTAAAATTGGGCCAAAAAACGTGTTTATTATTGAATAAATAGAATATTATTTACACAGTACATTATTTCACCGGGTTAACTTGGTATTATAAGTACAGTCACTACAATGATTTAGTAACCTAGGAAACAATGAAAATCAAGAGGAGTCATACACTGATATTTGATTGGTTGTGACATTTAACTGTATTCACCCAACTAGTGCATAAAAAAATAGCCCTTCACAAAAGGTAATGCAACTTAAAACAATTTTCAACACAAGCACAATGTACAAACATCATGTTGGCTGGAACAAGCTAAACAATGCTAGAAGTAATACATAATCTTACAGTAACCATAGAGATATCAGAACAAGCTAGACAATGCTAGAAGTAATACATAATCTTACAGTAACCATAGAGATATCAGAACAAGCTAGACAATGCTA